AGTGTATTTTCAATAAGAAAAAGAAAAACTTACTTTTGGGTGTACGTAGCAATACCACACTTGGTTCCTTTGACCTCTGGTGTCTGCACGCGGCGGCTAGACGGTGTTGCACTGCACACAGACGTCGTTAATGACGTGGGCGCAAGTTTCCTCGTCCTGATGCGCATGGTAATACGCTCCAGTTTTGGCACTAAATCATTTTTTACTCAGAGCAAGGATGATTTCGTGATAAGATTGCTGCATCAGCCACCGCCCCCGATTGCCTTCTACAAATACTACCTCGATCCAGATACATCTTCCCCACAGAAATCCAATAAAACCAACAAGATCTCCAACCTTCTGGTTGAGAATTTTGAGGCAAGAGGTAGCTAGCCTAGCCATGTCTCCCTCTCTTGATCTGCCCTCCCGGATCCTGCCCCGCGTGCTCATCGTCTCCCGCCGCACCGTCCGCAAGAACAAGTTCGTCGACTTCGTCGGTGAGTTTCTTGCTCATCACTTCATCCATGTTGGGAAAGTGCTGGATTCGTTGGAACTTGGAAGAATGTTCCAATTGCTGACATTTGCATGCATGGATGGATGCAGGGGAGTACCATCTGGACCTGGTGGTGGGCTACGGCGCGGTGCCGGTCATCGTGCCGCGGGTCGCCGGCGTGCACGCCATGCTTGACTCCTTCGAGCCCATCCATGGCGTGCTCCTTTGCGAGGGCGAGGACATCGACCCCTCCCTCTACGACGCCGGCGGCGACGGCATCGACGGCGACGCGCTCTCGCCGGAGCAGCTCGAGGCCGTGCGGCGCCTCCACCCGAGCGACGCCGCGGTGGACCACGAGAAGGACTCCATCGAGCTCCTCCTAGCGCGCCGCTGCCTCGAGCGCAGCGTCCCGTTCCTCGGCATCTGCCGCGGCTCGCAGGTGCTCAACGTCGCCTGCGGCGGCTCGCTCTACCAAGACGTCGAGCAAGAGCTGCACCCCGCGGCCGACGCCACCGTCTGCCACATGGACTACGCCAACTACGACGGGCACAGGCACCCGGTGCGCGTGCTCCCCGACACGCCGCTGCACGACTGGTTCGCCGAGTCGCTGATCGGCGGCGACCAGCTGATGGTGAACAGCTACCACCACCAGGGCGTGCGGCGCCTGGCCGAGCGGTTCGTCCCGATGGCGCATGCGCCGGACGGGCTGGTCGAAGGGTTCTACGACCCTGACGCATACAACCCCGGCGAAGGCAAGTTCCTCATGGGGCTCCAGTTCCACCCGGAGCGCATGCGCAAGGAGGGCTCCGACGAGTTCGACTATCCCGGCTGCGCCAAGGCCTACCAGGAGTTCGTCCGCGCAGTCGTCGCATACAAGGCGAAGCTGGCCGCCGCGCATGCTCATGTGCACGTCCAGAGCGCGGTCACCACGCCGGCGAAATTGAACCACGAAATGGAGAAGCAGCGCAAGGTGATCGGCCGGAGCGTCTCGCTCGCCAAGAACATGTACATGTTCGGCAACAACAACAGCGCGCAGCATCCGGCGCAGCACCGGGACGGGGACCTGGACGGCGGCGCGGAGTTCCTGGAGTCGAACACGGCGCTGAGCGTGCAGCAGGAGAAGCGGCTGAAGCAGATGGGCGCGACGGTGCGGAATGCGTCGGGGTACATGAACAGGCTCAAGGTGAGCGAGGAGCGGGAGGCGGCAGCGCGGGCGCATATGGCGAAGATGTCGGTCGCCCAGCTCGCCAGCATCGCCGCCTTCTACCGCGCCATGGGCAATGTCTGCTCGGAGGTGCTCGACGCCAAGCTCCAGCCGCCGTCTCCAACCCTGCACGAGTGACCCGTGCGTCCTCACCTGGCCGGAAATGCTTGCTTGGTTCATCAGAAATCGAAATGTTGCATGGCATCCTGAATTAATTAAACCGTGATGTTGATGCATGTAACTCGAGAAGTGTTACTAGTTGACTTTGTTTCAGTGTCCGTACAATGCATCTAGTTTCAAAGGAAAGACGAAGGGAGTAAGTAGTGTAGATCGTTGGTAATTGAGGTGTACTTTTCGTATGTACTTAGTCATCCCCTACTCCTATCTAACTTGTGCACCACAGTTTCTTCATCGAATTAGTTTCATGAAGAGTGAAAAATACGAAGCTACTTTTCGACTGTGCACGAGGGGTGATGATGTTGGTGCACCTGCGGCTCGGCTTACTTTACTGTTTGTAGTCGTTGTTACGTGGTTTACAGATGTGGATATCATATTTTTTTTCTTCGGATGTTTTTTATGCTACCTTGACAACTAATAAATAGATCGTATGTTTTCTTTAAAAAAAATAGCAAATGTGTTGACTTCATCAGTTGGACGGCTAGCATTTTTTAGCAAGTTCCGTTCTGAAACCACAACTACTGGCTAGTAGTAACATTCAGTTGGACAAAACAAAAACTTATCGCCGCATCTGCATGACGCCAGGAAAAGAGTAGTATAGCAAAGTTGCTTGTCACATGGGAAGCGCCAAAGGCACAGCTGATGGCCACGGACGGCCTAGGAGCTTCATTCAGGGTGGTTGCCAACTAACTTCGGAGAAGAACTGCTAGTGACACCCTGATGTGCCGGAGAAAACGCACGAAGGTTGCAGCTCTACATGGTGGCAGGCATGCATGGCCAACAGGTTGCAGCTCTGCCGCAACACTTGGCTAGCAGGCGCAAGGCAAGATATATATCACCAATTCGCCATTGAGTGTTCAACAGTAACGCCAGATCTGAGCGATAACTACGGTGCATCCCAGGGTAGCGTAGGCTGCACTTGCACGGCGCTCTTGGTTTTATTTTAGGATGGGAATGGGCCGGACCGCAGCCCTTGTTCTGGCTGGCCTCTCTATTCTTTTTCTTGAGGGACATGCAGCATTGGAGCCGGTCCAATAGTCCATCCTAGCCAGCACAAGAATAAGTAGCAGTTTATCAAAATAATAATAATAATAATAATAATAAGTAGCAACCCTAAAAAAAGTGAGTATTTAACCAAAAACTACCACATTTCATGGAAACATGTCAAAAAACTACCACTTTTACGATTTTGTGCGAAAAACTACCACTTTTTTTTTCTAATCCGTGGCAAAAAACTACCAAGTCGAGAAATCGCTCGCTTCGCCCGCAATAAGCACGAATTACGACAGGGCTGGCCCACACGTATGCATTGACCGGAGCACTGTCGGCCGAGATCCGCCGCGGGCCGGCCCCAGGCCGCCGCCCGGTCGCTCACCGTGCCTGCAGGTCGCGCCGCAGGGAGTCCCCAAGCCGCCACCCGGTCGCCATGGACCCGTTTGTGCTCGTCGTCGTTCGCGGCGCCGTCAGGGCACTCCATGCGGGGGGCGGCAAGGAGCAGCAGCTCCGGCGGCGAAGGGCGCGGGGCGGGCAACTCTGTCGGCTCCAGCGGGGACCTGCAGCCCGGCGGCTCCAGCAGCGACCCGCGGCTTGAGCGGAGAAGGGCAGGCGGCTCTGTCGGCTCCAGCGGGGACCTGCAGCCCGGCGGCTCCAGCAGCGACCCGCGGCTTGAGCGGAGAAGGGCAGCGGCGGCGGCTCCCGCGGCAGCTCCAGCGACGACCCGCGGCTCCAGCGACTGCAGCGGCGAGCGGCTCCAGGGGCGAGGGGCGGCGGGCGGCACCCACGGCCAAGGGCGGCGGCTCCAGCGGTGAGGGGCGGCGGGCGGCACCCGCGGCCAAGGGCGGCGGCTCTAGCGGCGAGAGGTTTTCGCGGACCTGCGGCGAAGTGCGGCTCCGGCTGTACCTGTTGGCCACGCTGGCGCCTAAACTATGGGCCCGGCCAGGCAGAAACGTGATTAACCGCGGTGAAGTGGGCAGTTCCACGACTTGGTAGTTTTTTGTCCCTGATTAGGTAAAAAGTGGTAGTTTTCCGCATAAAATCGTAAAGTGGTAGTTTCTCGGCACGTTTCCATGAAATGTGGTAGTTTTTGGTTAAATACTCAAAAAAGTAACATTTACAAAATAACATTATTTCTTGCATCATTTAGCTGTAGGGTTTTTTAGTAAGTTATAAGACATTTAGAATTTATTTGTTCAAAGAATATGCCCGTCCGTTCCTATTTCTATCATGAATAGTCCGCATCATAAGGTAGCATATTTGTAACATTGAAACAAAAACAGTCTTGGTCAATAGTTTGAAGTTTTCATATAAGCACAAGGGTAACAACCTTGCAAAGGCATGTGCATTGTATCGGCAGACTACAACCTTAGGCAACTGAATTTGGGTTGACCCTTTTGTCCGGGTGGGCCGCTGGTGACCGGCTCCTCTGGCCCAGTTTTTAATGGAGTCGACCCAAAAGTCCCAACGGTAACGTTAGCATATTCTTATCGTGAGTTTCATTCACTCGTGGAGATAGAAGAATGTGGTTCAAAAAGTCACTTTGGTGTACGAGCTCTAGTGGCCTTATATTTTGAAAAGTGCCAAAACGACAGGGGATAGTTGAGGGCGATCAATCTTGCTAAATCTCAGTCGACTAAGACTTTTTAAGGCTCAGTCGATGCTATATTCGTAAGATCTTACATTAAGATCTGTGCTATTTTTTTTTTCATTTTTTTTCTTTTCCTTTTTAGATTTTACTCCCTCCGTCCCATAATATAAGGGCGTTTTCTACACTATCTAGTGTCAAAAACGTTATTATCATATTATGGGACAGAAGGAGTATGTCACTTGGCTGCGAGGGGAATGGAAAACGAACGTTTTGTGCTGGCAGTTTGAGTTGCGACACAAGATCAAACGGTGCCAATGTTTAGAAGAAAATAACTTTCTCTGAAGAAATTGTCATACCATACAGAAGAAACTGCTAGCAAAAACTTCCGCAAATGCCACCCCTCCCAGCGAGAACGTTCGCTGGCTATTGGCATCCGAAAGAATCCCCTAGAGTGACTTTCAAGGCCAAAACTCTTTAGCTCTGCAGTATTTTTTACGGAGATTTTGGATTGGAATATGGAATCCGCTAGAGTTGCTCTTAGACTTCACCGAAACTAGCCCAAAATGGGCTTCGCCAAACCTACTGTTGCGAATCATAAGTTAAGGCATGTAAGAAAATTTCCCTGGTTGACATCTTCCCTTTCCTAAAGTTTCCTGAGATGTGCCCTTTCCTACCTTAAACAACTATCATGGTTCAGTAGTCGGAACAAGACTTGCCCTCTATAGTTATTACATTACGTATAACATTAACATGTACCTCCGGAACAAATCCACACGCCTACACAATCTGGTACTCGAACCACATCGATCCATGGCTGCAATGCAGGAGCAGGCGCCGGCGCGGACGCTGGGGGAGTCGCTGGCACACGAACCCCGTCACAAAATCTGGATGGTGGCCGTCTTCCTGCAGATCGTGTGGCCTGCCGTCATCACGGCTTGTCTATACGGCCTCGTATCGCTACAGGGGCTGGGCTTTCGCTCCTTCTTCCGCGGCGCGCCGTGGCGGTTGCCTCTGGCGCTCTCGTACGGCTTCTACTGGTCGCTGCTCTACCTCATCAGGTTCTACGCGGAGCTGTTCCTGCCGCGCACGCCGGAAGCAGTCGCCGACAAGCTCGTCAACGTAGGAAGCGGCGTCGGCGTATGCATCAGTGTCATTGTGATCCCCGTGCTGGCGTGCGGCGTCAAGGACGGCCGCGTGCTGGCCGGGTGCACCGCCTTGGTGGGTGTGATCATTGTCGGCCTCGCCGCGTTTTGGGTGTGGCTTGCTCGCACATACGGCGGAGATGGCGACTTGTCGGAGGGGTCTACTACGCTGCCACCAGCAGAAGCACTAGAAGAAGGGCTGCAGCATCCTGTTCCACCACGCCTACCTGTATAGATATTCACTCATTTCGGCCGTATATTTCTCCTCTTTCTCTTTTGATTTGATCAGACCACCTGCATACAAAGTGTTTATTTGTATTATAGGAAATTAAGTGTTTATTTGTCGGGAAACACAGTACAGACGTAAACACTCATACATACAAATATGTACACTCATCCCTATCAATGCACACACGCACACCCTGCCCCTATGAACACTTCCAAGAGACTGAGGGGACACATCATATTGAGATCAAAAATGCTAAACACACAGGCCCCATTACGGGACTTTCCATACAATTCTCTCCGCCCTCCTTATTTTCACCGGGGCGGGACTCCCTTCCTCCCCCTTAATCCAATAAATAACTGTCATGTCAAGATTAGCCTGTAATGGTCCTGTAATCCTTCGTTGATGTAGCATTGCCGTATGGAGATTGACGAAGTCGCCACATACGTCTTTATAGTCGATGGGAACGTCTCGTCCCACTGAATGCACATCGATGGAACGTCTGAAATAAATTTAAAAAAAATGCGAACACTTGTGTCAAGTCTAGAAGGCCTGAAATAAATTCAGAGAAAATGCAAACACTCGTGTCTAAGTCCAAGCCTTGAACTCTGATGGGCTGAGAATACCATTATTCTCCTAACCATCCAGCACAAGTTAGTTCCGCCAATAACAGGCTGCTAATATGTACGTCCAAGCGACGGTGCTCATCGTCATCTTAAACGTGGACACATTAGTGTTCCGCCAGTTTGATCATTTTCTAGGCCGTAAAAAAATGTCTTGCTGTGATTGTTCCACTCCCGAGGAAATTATATCTCCCACACAAAGAAAAAAAAAGGAGATAAGAAACTATGTCTAGCTAGTTTGGCTCTATTCTGTAGGGAAGATGCAGCGGATTAGTGGACATAGAGTATCTTGTCCCGACCCATGCTCCGTGATGAACAGTAAAATCAATATAAATACTAAAAATTTAAAAATTCTGAATTTTTTTGGGTGCAAACTTTGACAAATGTTCTTGGTGCTTGCAAATTTTCATCCCGACATAATATTCATGAAAGTCGTGGTAAAAAAATCAACACTCCAAAAATGCTATTTTCGAAAGCATTTGGTGTTATTTTTGTTTTTTGCCATGACTACCACGAATGGTATTTCGGAGTTAAAATTTGCAAGCACTGAGAACATTTGTCAAAGTTTGCACCCAAAAAAATTAGTTTTTTTTTGGGATTTTTTTCATTCTTTTCGGCATTTACTATTCATCCCAACCTCAAATGAGCCCGGGAATAGAACAGGACCTCCGCAGATTAGTGTCTCTGGTAGTTGTGGATTTCACCTGAACCATACAAAGGAGGGTTTTTTTGTCTTTTTTTTTGCGCTTTCCTCTTTTTGTTTCTACCCTTGGCATGCTCAAGGCAAATGAACTGAATTGATGGGCTTTTTAGGAAATGACATTGAACCGGTTCTACATAAACCACCCGGTCTTTGTTTTTAAAGAAAAATCGTATGGTTAGTCCGACTTTTTCCGGATGGATTGCTCGAAAGGTCTGCAAGGCTTAAAGAACCGCCGCGGTCACTGGTTCTGGTTTTTTTGGTCCGATCGCCGGGCCGGTTCTGCTGCACATCAGGGTGGCACTAGCAGTTCTCTGCTAAAGTTAGTTCTTTTTTTGACAAATGATGGATTTTATTGACTGAAAATGAAGCTTCAAGTAGATACAAACACACTAAGCACACACCCGGCCTCTACACAGTTAAGATGCACACAATCAACACCAACACATACAGAAAAACCTGCTGGCAAATAGCATAATCATATAAGACCAAAGCTATGCCTAAACGAGGAAAAAAAAATCAAATCAAACAAATCTGCGATCGACAAAATATAACAACAACCGCATCCGCACCAACCATCTCATGACACCATAATGAAAGTGAGATTCTTCAATAGCAACACCATAATGACAGTTGACAACCACCTTGAATGGAGCTCCTAGACCGTCCGTGTCCGGCCACTCGGTGTGGCTTGGGCACTTCCCATGTGACCCATAACTCTTCGCTACTACTCCTTTTCTGGCATATAAAGTCTCCAACAATCGAGGGGCAGTTTTGTTTTATCCAACTGAATGTTGCTAGTGGTGTAAGAACGGAGCATGACAAAAATGTTGTTTTGTCCAAGTGAATGTTACTGGATGCCAAAAAATGCTAGCCGTAAAATTGATGAGTTGAACACATGTGCTTGTTATCCTCTTCCATTTGTACTGGTTAATTTGAGGAAGAAACTACGGTACACAAGATAGGTACCAGGGGAAGATCAGAAAGACACTTCAAGACTCAAGTACTACTTAGTAGTAGTTTCTCGCTTCGTCTTTCCTGTGATTACGAGGTTACGATAGAGCTTACCAAAGGCAGCGAGCTTACAAAGTCATGACAAAAAATGCATTGTATTGTACGTATGGACACACAAACAAAGTAAACTAACACTTCTTGAATGTGTAACATCAACATCACGGTTTAATTAATTCAGGATGCCATGCAACATTTGGATTTCTTATGAACTGAGCAAGCATTTCCGGCCAGGTTCACAGAGACAGACAGAGCACAGGTAGATCACTCGTGCAGGGTTGGAGACGGCGGCTGGAGCTTGGCGTCGAGCACCTCCGAGCAGACGTTGCCCATGGCGCGGTAGAAGGCGGCGAGGCTAGCGAGCTGGGCGACCGACATCTTGGCCATGAGCGCCCGCGCCGCTGCCTCCCGCTCCTCGCTAACCTTGAGCCTGTTCATGTACCCCGACGCGTTCCGCACCGTCGCGCCCATCTGCTTCAGCCGCTTCTCCTGCTGCACGCTCAGCGCCTTGTTCGACTCCAGGAACTCCGCGCCGGCGTCGAGGTCCCCGTCCCGGTGATCCGCCGGATGCTGCGCGTCAGTGTTCTTGCCGAACATGTACATGTTCTTGGCGAGCGAGACGCTCCGGACGATCACCTTGCGCTGCTTGTCCATTTCCTGGTTCAGTTTGGGCGGCGTGGTGACCGTGCTCCGGACGTACACGTGCGCGGCGGCCATCTTTGCCTGGTGTGCCGCCACCGCGCGGACGAACTCTTGGTAGGCCTTGGCGCAGCCGGGGAAGTCGAACTCGTCGGAGCCCTCCTTGCGCATGCGCTCCGGGTGGAACTGGAGCCCCATGAGGAACTTGCCCTCGCCGGGATCGTACGCGTCGGGGTCGTAGAACCCTTCGACCAGCCCGTCTGGCGCGTGCGCCATGGGCACGAACCGGTCCGCCAGGCGCCGCACGCCCTGGTGGTGGTAGCTGTTCACCATCAGCTGGTCGCCGTCGAGCAGCGACTCCGCGAACCAGTCGTGCATCGGCGTGCCGGGGAGCACGCGCACCGGGTGCCGATGCCCGTCGTAGTTGGCATAGTTCATGTGGCAGACGGCCGCGTCCGCCGCGGGGTGGAGCTCCTGCTCGACGTCCTGGTAGAGCGAGCCGCCGCAGGCGACGTTGAGCACCTGCGAGCCGCGGCAGATGCCGAGGAACGGAACGTTGCGCTCGAGGCAGCGGCGCGCGAGGAGGAGCTCGATGGAGTCCTTCTCATGGTCCACGGCGGCGTCGCTCGGGTGGAGGCTCCTCACGGCCTCGAGCTGCTCCTGCGAGAGCGCGTCCCTGGCGTCGCCGTCGCCGCCGGCGTCGTAGAGGGAGGGGTCGATGTCCTCGCCCTCGCAGAGGAGCACGCCGTGGATGGGCTCGAAGGAGTCGAGCATAGCGTGCACGCCGGTGACCCGCGGCACGATGACCGGCACCGCGCCGTAGCCCACCACCAGGTCCAGATGGTACTCTCCTGCATCAATCCATGCATGCAAATGTCAGCATTCTTCCAATGAATCCACCATTATTTCCCCAAAGTCAAGACGAAATACTTACCGACAAAGTCGACGAACTTGTTCTTTCGGACGGTGCGGCGAGAGACGATGAGCACGCGGGGGAGGATCCGGGAGGGCAGATCAGGAGAGGGAGACATGGCTAGGCTAGTTATCTCTTGCCTCCGATTTCTCAACCAGAAGTGATTACTTCTCAATGGTGGGTCGGTGTGTTCTTGTTTGGTTTGTGGGGAAGATGTATCTGGATGGAGGTATTTATAGAAGGGATGATGGATCGATCTTATCACGAAATCATTTGATTCCAAAACTAGAGCGTATTAACATGCGCGCGAGGACTAGTAGTAGTAATTAACTTGCGCCGACGTCATTACCTACGGCGTGTGTGGGCAACCCCGTCTGGGCGCCGCGTGCAAACACCGCAGGTCAAAGTGCCCAAGCTCGATATTGCTACATGCACCCAAACATAAACATTAAAAAAATACTCTAGCTTGTCAGCATAGGTGATTGGTGCATATCCAGGAGTCCAGCACAGCATATGCTACGGATTGCTCTCATCTCTTTAGTCTTCATCCCACAATCACATAAAAATCATAGTATTCATCTAATCTGCCTGAAAGACATGTCAACTTTGGGCTCTGTTTGGATTAGATGAACTTTGAGTTTGTGTTCGGGTAGCTCCAGGTCTTATAGTGGCTAGTGTTCTACGTATCTGTATGTAATTTTTGTTACTTCTGATATTTTTTGTACTGTCATGACAGATGATGAATAGATTGAAAGTTTTTCTAGCAGAAACAATGGCTTTGTCTCCAAAATGGTGTTAGGTAAATAGATAATTTCCAATGCGTTGCAACATGGTATAAATATTCTAATATGTTAGGCCATGATTTACCTGCCCTTATTAATATGATTCTGTAGATAAGTGTTTACCTAATAAATTTCTGCCTGTGATTTACCTACCAAAATAAATTTTAAGATTTTATCTGGTAAGCACTTATTGGCTTTATCAAAGTGAAAATGATAAGTTAATAGGAGGTGGGGCAATTAAGGCGGTTTTCAAAGGAAAAATAACTTCTGAAAAAACCAGAGATATATGAGCGAAAAAATCAAAACAGAGAAAAGGAGGATAAGTACCTAAGGTTGAACGA